TACCGCTTCTTCAAGGTGCTGTTGATCTGGATGATCATTTGGAGTATGCCTCAAAATTTCTCTGAGAAGCAGTGGGTATTTCACTAGACGACTTCTTGGGGTGTCAAGAAAATTCCAAAGGTCCAATTTGCGGCTGAAAGGAGACTCTAAGCAGCGCTGTAGAAAGTCTTGGACCCTGTGATCCTGTTTCTTGTGGTCCAATAAGGCTTTAGCTGCTACTTGATTACTGCAGTAGCTATCATATGAGTTTAGGCAAGGCAACTAAGGAAAGAAAAATGTGTTTTGAAACCATAAGCTGTAAAACTGAAAACAGAAGGCAGTATGCTGTACAAACACCCCTGTGCGCGTCAGGTATTTAAAACTGATTTAGAGGTCTCTTTCCTGGGAGTTGAATATTACCGTGTGTGTGTGTGTGTGTGCGCGCGCGCGCGCGTGTGTGAGAGAGAGAGAATGAGAATGAGAATGAGAATGAATTAGATAAGGTATCTCTTCTTCCCCAATTACAAATTTCCCTGGCATCAGGATAAATTATTCTAACCTGTTATTCTTGTAAAATTGCTAGATAAGGCAGCAATTAAGTATCTATTTATCTATATACAGTACAATATATAAAATTTTTTTACTGGAGTGGGGTGACTGGACCCTGAGTGTCCCACAATCCAGATAGTTGCCCTAGCCACTGGATTAGAGGCATTCTGTGTCTCTGGACCAGTGACTAGGGAATGTCAACATGTAGTCAGCTATACTACTAACAGATAAGTCCATGCTTATTGGTTAATCCTATCTACTACACACATTCTCCCCCCACCCCCCCCCCCCCCCCTTGCTGCCTCCCCAGGGAGCTGGCATGTGTGGAAAGCAGCTTTCAAGCTGGCTCCCCATGCATATCGGGTCCCATGTAGCCACCTGCCCCTCACAGTGCTGCCTCTTTTAAGATGGCTCCCTTCAAATTCTGGATCCTGCCTGCCCCTCCTGTGTGTGAATACCAGATAGTTAACATCCCTACCATTGACTAAGTACTTATAAACAGAGGAATAGCTTCAGGAGGACAAACAGAAGGAGCCCCACATCAGTATATCCCATAGCTCAGCGGTAAGAGCACACTATTGAGAGATAGGAGAGAAAGGAGAATTGAATCTGGGTCTTCAACAATCTAGGTGAATATGGGGCAGCACCCACATCAGCCTCCTCACTCTGATTGGGATATAGTCTAGTTGTCAGCTTCTAAGCATGCCTGCCACATTGGGACCCACAGGTTAGATAGGCAGAAAAGCATCTATCACATTGAGAGATAGGCATCCAGACACCTAGAAGGTGGTAGCAGCAGCGTACATTCATAGAGGCAAGAATTTAGGTGTCTAGAGAACTTTTATCCTGAAAATTTAGGCACCGAAATAGTTGGCACCTCAGCAAGGATTTTATGGATCCCAGTCAGCCTGAAATTAGGACTGAGGAGCCTAAGTACATTTGAAGGAATTGGACCTCTGGCACTTTAGTGATACCTAAGCTAAAAAGGTTTATATTTATATACAGAAGATTTTATGTATATTCAAATTCAAATAACCATATTTGGACAAGCTAAAATTCAAATACAAAATTATAAAACATTTAAGAATTATTTTACTCAAAAAGAGCTAAAAACCAAACTGAGTACATTTGTCATTTACCAACAGTCATTCTTCTTAAACCCTTGTACCCCAAGTTTCAATACACACACATTTCTGACTCTTAATGGTCCAGTGATTTGAAAAGAGCTGCCAAATCCCTCACTGGCTATTCCCTTGAAAAATGAACCTAATTTTTGCTATCATAAAATCACTTTCTTTATGCTGTGAAATAAACTGTCCATCTAAACCCTTAAAAAGAAAGGTTTTGTATCTTTCCATGTAAAGATGCAGTCAGATCTTCAGGTGGCATAAATTAGTGTAGCTTTACTCTGGCACATGATTTTTATTTAAAGTCATGCACTTTTAAACACGCTTATCACTATAAAGCCCTGGTTTATTTTAAACACACCTTTTTCTAAATTTTAAAAAAGTCTCAATTTAGGGAAAATATTCCTTATTTAAAGTATATTATAATTCTTATTAACCAAATGTTTCTATAAAAGTTATTTAAGACTTGAAACACTATTTTCAAGAGATACGGACTATAAAAGATAAATTGTCTGAAAAGATACATACCAATGAAAGTTAAACTCATTTCAAATTTGATTAGAAAATCTGCCTTACCCAGGCCACAAGTATATGACCAACATGCTCAGTAGATCCATCAGGTTTTCTGACCTCTTGAAGCCGCCTAAGAAGATCTGACCAATATAAAATAAAGAAAAATTCACATGCTTAACATGCTAAGTGTAAATGAATGTGGAATCATAATTTATTGAACAAAATTATACCTTCATGTAGAGGGATAAGAGAGTCCAGTGTTCCAAATATTTGGTTTAATTCTTGCTCTGTCATTATGGAGAGTTTAAGCATAGGATCATGATAAGCCTGCAGAATAAAGCAAACATTAGCATATATTTGATTTTGAACAAATCAGATTTCACTTAAATTCTCTCAATTCTCTCATAACTCAGAAGGGGCTCAATTTTTCACAAGTACAATTGTGTTAGGTACCAATTAAAAAACACTTAGACCAAAAGTTGAATGTTTCAGAATGTTAAAAGTGTCAAAGAAACAACAACAGGGATTCTATTAGTTGTTTTTCAACCTTAACGAGATGGCAGTTGCAACGGTTAAGTTTACTATAAAAAATTTCTTTAAAGGATAAAAACACCAGTGTTTGATTAATTTATTTATAGAAATACCTTTTTCGCTAACTTCAAGTCTTCTATCAAGTCTTCTTCTCCCTGGGAAAGTTCAAAGATAGCCTGTAAAAAAGGGCATAACACATTTCTTATTTAAACTGTACTCAATTTTAAAAGTTACTGCTGTAGCCTGTTGTATTAGTGCACAGCTACATTTTCTTGCTAAATTTAGCTGAAGAAAAAAATGTAGATTTCATCTAGGGATGTTAAGTTTCGATTAATCGGCTAATCAAGCAGTCAATGGAATTACCATTGACTACTTGATTAGCAGAGAAAGGGTGGGTGGGGCACTTGCAATCCCGGCTGCGCCTTTGTCTTTGAATGTAGCAAGAGCCCCACAGGGCTACATTTCAAAGGCAGAAGTGCAATAGTAGGAACTTGGGGCAAGCAGGATTGCTTGAGTCTTTGCTTGCCCCGTTTCCCTGCTGTGCCCCTGCCTCCCTGTGGAGATAGTGCTGGAGGGGTCCAGCTTTTAAGCTTCTATTCCCCCCCCCACTCTTGCTGCCTCGGATAGAGGCGGGGGTGGGGAGGGTTACTAGTCAAATCAACTACTCAACTACCTGATAAGCATATGCTTATTGGGTAGTCAACTACTCGCTTATATCCCTAATTTCATCTATAAAAAAATCACATTTGTTAAGTATTACTTTTAAAGACATGTTTTGCAAGACTTCTCATGAAACAGTTCTTATCTGAAAAAGTTACAGAAGTACAGTATTTGGTTTGATAGGTTTCAAAACCAGAAGTTCATCTTATATGTTATGATATTTTGAGGCAACCAAACAATATCAAATATTTTTGGTAAAATAATCAGTGTTTTCACAGCTAATTATGTGAGTGTTCTGCTTGGTTTTTTTAAAAAACAGTTAGAAAAAGCAGATCCTTTGCTAATGGAAATGGACACAGGGGGGAGAGCAGGAAAGAAAGGCACAGATTTGTGCTGCAGACACAAAGTTTGCCTTGGTGAGCATGGTGACACCCATTTATCCCATAGGGATGGGAAGAGAAGGCAGTTGATAAAGAGCAATCCCACTACATTGTAGCCAGACAGAC